GACAGATGGAGAGAGGGGGCAAATCTCCCCTCCCATGGTAGCAAAGAAGGAGTAGCTTGCTAGCTGCTTTCCCGGTGGGAGGGCAAGAGGAGGGGAGCCTGAATTTTAGCAAAGCTCCTATGAATGCAGGGGCCAGCACGAGATCCAGTCTCAGCCTTGGGCATCTGCTCTGTGCTGCAAATCCATGCGTGCTGGGCTGGCGAGATGTGTCTCTCCTGGGGTGCTGGTTGGGCTTTGTCGGCTCACACTGGGCTCCTTTCAACCCCTGGATCAAACCCACAAATAACAGAAGCAAACTGTTTCCTCCATGCCATCGTCCACTGATGGCAAGCAAAGGTGGGGCTGGAAACCATCAGCACAGGGAAAAGGCTGGTTTGTTCTTCCACGGCGATAGCCGGACCGTGCTGGGTGGACAAAGAGAGGAGGTGAAGCCACACAAAGCTGTGCCACGGTGGCACTGAGAGCACCTGTGTGAGGATGAGAGCCTTGGTATCCCATTGGGCTGGGGCTTCAGCTCTACCTCTCCCAAACCACTCTGGACCCACCAGGAGGGACGGAAAGGCTGGGATGGGTCTCTTGTAGGTCATCAAATGGCCGAGGAGAGACCTGGAGGCCTTTGGAAGGAGGAGAGAGGTTGTGGGGGAAACAACAGGAGAGGCGAACCTGTTGAACACATCTTTGCTCAAAAGTCAGAGAGCTGCCTCCAGCCTCTCCCTGGGGACTGCTTTGGGGTGACTCTGCCAGCAGACGAAAGATGGGGCATGCCAAGCAATGGGGCTTTGAAAACCTAGGGACTGGGCTTTGTCCCACTGGTGGCCTCATGCCCGGCCAGGACCCACGATTGATGCTGGGGACGGAGGTGGGAATGAACAAGGCCAATATCTGACGCACATCCTCAATGCCGTCTTCACCAGCACCCAGCACTGGTGGCCATGCAGGGGACACGAGTCACTGCGGCTGGCTCATTTCTGTGGCTGTTTCTCTGCTCTGTCTCATCTCCTTGAGCGACACTATAGCAAGACAAGTCTGGACCTACTCACCGGGGATGTCAGCAAGTTGGCCAAAGCCAGGAATGATCTCTCCATCCCTCCTTCCCAAGCTCCTAACCCACGACGGAGACACATGGCTGCCATCCCCAGGCAGCAGCATTCACCTCCACCCCATAGAAGCAAGAGAGCCCTGGCTGGGTTGGACTTGGAGGACAGAAATGCAGCCGCCCGCATTTATTTTGCCTAACAACAGAGATCTCTCTGTGTATTTTCATTCTGTTTTCTTAGGCTCAGCTGCCTCCTCAATGAAATGTTTCCAAAGCAGCCTAGCTTGGCGGCACGCCAGCCCCGGCTGCCAGATGAATGGGCGGAGGAGGAGGGACCCATTCCTCTTCTTGACACAGCATCCCTGCACAAGAGGCCTCTGTTGACATTAGGACTGGCTGTTCCCTCTCTCCCAAAAGAATCTGCCTGCCCTCAGCAGAAACAGCACACAGGGCCAAGGATTCATGTGATATGGGACTGGGATCTGTCCTCCTCCGGGGTGGTGGCACAGCCATGAACACCAGGGTACCACGGTGCATCCTCCTCCGGGGTGGTGGCACAGCCACAGATACCAGGGTACCATGGTACATCCTCCTCCGGGGTGGTGGCACAGCCACGGACACCAGGGTACCACGGTGCATCCTCCTCCGGGGTGGTGGCACAGCCACAGACACCAGGGTACCATGGTACATCCTCCTCTAGGGTGGTGGCACAACCACAGACACCAGGGTACCACAGCACAGCACTGCCAGGACCTGAAGTAAGCCCTAGTTTCTTGCCCTGGACCCTCCCCTGCTGCGCCAGCCCCCCTGACAGCTCAGCACTCCTTGGGGTTCCCTGACTCCTACTAACAACATCACTCCCCGAGACATCAGCATTGTGAGAAGCCTGTTAACTCCCCCAAAACACCTCTCCTCCGCCCTGCTTGGAGCAAAGCGCTCCCTCAGCACCGCAGGAGTGCAGACACCGACACAGGTTTCGCAGAGCTCCAAGTCTCTGGCACCTTTCAGGGGGAGTGATGCCCCAGGGGCCCCAAGCACAGCACTCCCAAACCCTTCAGGCCTTTGGACAATAACATATAGAGCAGCATCGGCTTCACCCTAAACCCTTGCCATTACTCAGACATGTAGGACTTCACACAAACAGCATCACAGCTCTTTCCCATGCCTCAGTTTCTCTACCCAAAGAAAAATACCAACCCAGGCCTTCAGGGCTGGAAATTCGTCTGCTGGGAGGTAACCGAACGGTAGCAGTGCAGCACAGTGCCGCTGGGCTAGCCACCCAGCACCAGACATGATCCCTCTATCTGCCACTGCTAATTGCAGATCTGGTCATCAGCAAGGGAATGCAAATCTGTGTATGCCCCACTCATTATCTGTCACCTCCTTGCCAGGGACACCTTTAGGAGCTATGCAATGAAAGGATGTGGAATTTAACAAAAGGGCTGAGGAAGCATCAGAAGGCAAAAGAAAGAGATAAAAGTCATCAGCATCCTTCCAGTCTGCACATCTCTCCCCCGAGTGACTCCCCTGGCGTCTTCTGCTGGTGGCCAGCACCCAGCTGCTGCAAGCTGAGGACAAGAGGCTGGGTCAGGGCAGCACCCACCGGCATGCTGCAGGGACAGACTGCTCCCACCAGCCAGGCTCTGCCTGGATCTGGTGGAAAAGAGGCCAACCACGCATCGATAAGATGAATTAGTTGTCTCAGCCGCACCGGCAAAATGAGCGAGGGGAGTGGAGCCCGTGAGGCCCGGCCTGCTTTGTTTCAATTACAGCAGCTGCCAGAAGAGAAAGATAACCTCAATATTGATGGCAGGAGCAGCAGACAGAGGTGCCCTTGTGGGCTGCTGGGAGCAGGTAGAGGAGGAAGGGGGAGGAGGAGGAGGAGGGAGGGAGCAAGAGAGATGGAGGAGGTGGAGCGGGGTCTCAGCCAGCACCCTGTGGGAGAGCCTGGCCGTCTCCCCTGGGCTGGTGAGAAAGACCCACCTGATCACTTTGCCTTCATCCCCACAAGGAATAGCTCCTCTTCACCCTGGCTCTTGCCCCAGTCACTGGGCAGAGCATCCCCCCCATAGAGACAGGGTGGAGGGGTGCAGAAATTCATCCCAGAGCATCAGCAGGGGGACGTGCACCGCACATGGCACCGCAGGACGCTGAGCAGTTGAGCGGGGCTGTGTGGGATGATGGATGGAGCTGGAGCAAAGGGCTACGGGGCTGAGACAGGCACAGGGGCAGCCCTGGGTGCAGGCGGGCACAGCTGCCTGCCAGGGATGCAGCACCCCACTGCTCGAGGGCTGGGGAGCCCCACGATACGCTCGCCATGGGGACCAGTCTGGGCACGAGATGCCCAAGATGACTTTGGACCGCATGTGGGAACTTTGGCCCCACAAGAGCAGCTCAGGGCACCCCAACACCCCACCTACAAGTCCGAGATCGAGGTTCCCAGCCAAACCTCCTCCTGGCGGTGCAGGGTTAGTGCCCCGGGGTCACATCCTGGCAGGAGGTAACCAGAAGGTACCAAGGGATGGAGTCTCTTCAGTCTTCAACCCCTTTACTTCCAGGCCTCTGCACAGGGGAACGCAAATCACCGCCCGCTGCTGCTGCGTGGGGCCCACATCCAGCCCCAAGTCCCTCCCTGCGCCCGGAGAAAAGCCGAGCGAGCCCCCCACCCTCTCTGGGGAAGGGGCCCCACCAGAGCCCAGCCTGAGCCACGTTCGCTTCACAGAGGTTTTATTCGTGGACATCCGCATCGCCCGCCGGTCTCGCTTCTCCCCCAGGAGAGACCCCAGGATCCTCACCAGGCCCTGGATTCAGCCACCAGGTCTCCACGAGGGG